TTGTGGTAGATGGTTAAGGGTATGAATATGAATCCTGTTTGTGCAACTTACTGACTTTGTAACCTTCATTAGGTTACTTAACATCTCTATGCTTCAGTTTTATCATCTGTCAAAGAAGAATCCCAAGATCAATAACTCCCTCCACACTATTCAGATTTCTTTGTTCACTGCCATTTTTTTTAGTGCCAAGTACAAGGTTTTTGTTTGTTTGGTTTTGGTTTCTGTTTTAGGGTGCATGTGCTCGCCAGAGAGAGTCAGACAGTGAGAAATCACTCCTCAGGGAGGATGATCACGCCACAATCCCTTCTCCTTCATTCTCCTCCTGGGATATTGGGCACGCATGTACATGTGCATAGTGTGATTTTCAAGCTGTCAGGTCTGGAACTCAAACTGTGGTTGTCCAGGTAGGGGTCTAGCACCTTAGCCACTAGGCCACTTGTTAGTCCCCAAGGTTTTAAATCCAACATATTTTACACTGACCTATCCTATCCTAAGATTGCATTAACAGAGGTAAGAGGAATATATACTCTTGTTTTTGCATTTTTCAAAGTAAGTAAAATACACCAAGCTTGGGACTTAGAAATATAAACACTGGTAGAAGATAATAATTTAAGTCCTTGTGTAGCTGTGAGATTGAAGTTCTGTTGCCTACGTTTGTGACACACTATGATGTTATAACACTAGGTTCTCCCTCTAACTCTCCTGATGTGACTGACCTACTCCTGTCCTTCTTCTAGCATGTGACATTCATGCCTTTAAGAATTAATTATCTCAGTATTAATTTTTTTTCTTTAGGTTTTTACCATAGAGTGTGTGTACTTGCTGGAAAGAGAGGGAAAGTAAGAAATCAGCCTCCAGCAGGGATGGCCATGCTGTAATCCCTTCTCTTCCAGTCTCCTTTCAGGATTCTGGACATGCACATACACGTGCCTGGAGTGATTTTGAAGTCACCGGGTTTGGGGCTTGAACCACAGTTGGCCATGTGGGAATCCAACCACCTTAACTACCACACTATCTACTGGCTTCTGTCTTAACCACTTTTAAATGTATAGATCAGTGATATTATGTACATTCTCATTGTTGTCCGATTGATCTCCACAGCTCTATTTATCTTAAAAAATGGAAACTCTTTGCCTATTGGAGTATAACTCCCTATATCCCCCTCCTCTTAGCCCCTGACAACCACCATTCTACTTTCTATCTCCATAAACTTGACTGCTCTAGATAACTCATGTAAGTGTAACCATATAGTATTCGTTGTTTCATAACTGACTTATTTCACTTAGCATAATGTTCTCAAACATCATCCATGTTGTAGCATGTGTCAGAATTTTCTTTCTTTTTGGGGCAGAATAATATGCTATTGTATATATGTATCACATTTTGTTCATACATTCATGGACACTTGGGTTATTTCCAATTCTTGGCTATTTTGAATAATGCTGTGAAGATCATGAGTATGCAAATATCTCTTCAAGACTCTGCTTCCAATTGTTTTGGTTATATGCCTAGGAGTGGAATTGCTCATGATGTAGTAATTCTTTTTTTTTTTTTTAGAATTTTTTTTTATTTAACCTTATTTATTATTGTTATTATTTGTTTTAATTTTACCAGAGAGAGTAAGACAAAGAGAGGGAAAGTGAGAAAGCAAGCTGCCAGGTCCCAGACTTAAACCATTGTCAGTCCTTTGGGAGTCCAGTGTCTTTAACCACCACACCACCTGCTGGCTCCATATCATATAGTAATTCTATTTTTAAAGTTTTTGAGTAACTATCATACTGTTTTTCACAGTAGCTATACCATTTTTCATTGCCACAAATACATATGTCTTTTGAGAAGATGATAGTATAATTCGACTAGTTATTTTATACTTTTTTTATGGTACGCTTTTACCAGACCTCTCAAAAACATATTGGCTATCCATATGTTGGCTTTCCAGTTAGCTGTGAAAATAGTGTACAAGATATGGAAATTGGGCCAGCCTGTTGGATGGTGGATCAGGCAGCTGGATCCCACATGGCTGACTGTGCGGTTGAGTTCCGGATGCTGTAGCCTGAAAGATCCAGCATGCATGCCCGAAATCCTGAAAGAAGAGAGAAATGCAGGAGGAGGGATCCCAGAGTAACTTTCCCCCAAGGAGGGCGCTTTTTCACTTTCCTTCTCTCTTTGTTTTTCTGGAGAGCACATGTGTCCTCTAGCAAATTAAAACAAACCAACAAAAAAGTCTCTGCTAAAAGAATAGGCTGAATTCTTCCACTTCAGGATTCCTATTTGCCCACAAAGCTTTACTATGAGGATTTATAATTAACAGTTTCTTATATATTCTGTTTACTGATAAAACAGATTATTATACTATTATTCTCTAATTACTTTAAATTTCAAATTTTTACTAATGCAGACTAGGTTTTCTTCAAATGTGTTAGAATTAGTGACCTTTGCTGATAAGTGAAGAGTATCTTTTATTTGAAAAATATTATTGAGTCTTGCAATTTGAAGAAATGAGAAAGTTCATGCTTTGGCAAGCCACAGTAGCATAGTGGTAGTACAGTACTACTGGTGAAGAGGCCACATGGAGAAGGTGGTTCTTGGGTCACATCCTGGGGTCACCTGGTATGTAAGAGGCGACTAGGTGTACACACATGTCCCTGGCCAGCTAATGCTATGTGTGGTTACAGTGTGAAGACTCTGTGGGGAGTGTTTCTTTCTCTCTGTTTCTTGGGAAAAAATAAATCACTGCATTTTTTTAAAAAAAATTACATAGTAAACATATTGCAGTTAATTTTTAAAATCCTATCGTTTAGCAGTAGAAATGGTTGAGTACCCTTTTTTTTAAGGCCCCACTCTGGGAAACACCAGTTTATCGATAGTCAATACGTAGCGCCATCATATAGCTAATGTCCAATGTGTGGGAATAGGTTAGAAGCAGTGACTCAAATGAAAGAGGTTAATCTACATAATTTAGTCATCCAGACTGAGCACGAAGAACACAAATAGCATAGAAGCAGGAGTTTATTTCTAATTATTTTCGGTTTTTGTTTGCCAGAGTGTCACCAAGTGGAAGCGCCCTTTCTCACTTTATGCATCTCCTTGGAATCCAAGCATTGCATGTCCCCCAGTTAACCGTCTGATGGTCCACAGGAAAGATACCTTTTAATACTCGATCAGCACAAGAAACTGCGAAGAGCCTCTTCTTGAGGTCTGAGCGGCTTCTTCTCATCTTTCTCTTACTAGAACCTCCACTGGCAGTGAAGCCTGGAGGCTGCAGCTCAAGGACACCCAAGGACTCAAAGCCTGCCTTTCTCAGGGAGGTTGGTGAGACCCTTAGGCTCCCAAAGGTTCAGCATTCTCATTGTAACTCATTATATAATTTTAAAAGATTGATCTCAATATAGAGATTTCTTCTAGAAATGCCTAGCATGAAGAGGGTTAGAAAAACCAGTGGAGTTTAATTAGAAAAAGTACATTTTTTTAATGAAATGGGGGGCAAGATCTCTCTGCAACTACATTTTACTCTTTGTGATATTATGTTGGGGTTGGAAAAAATCTACTTTCTTTTTTTTATTTTTTCATAGAAATGTATTATTTCATTGTAATTTATGCATGCACATTGCAAAAGCCTCAGACAATACTGAAATCTATGGAGAAAAAGTAATCTTTTATCATTCAGCAGTAACAACCATTACTGTTTTGGTTTAACTTGCTTTAGGAGTTTTTAGTGGCTTTGTAAACATTTTGATACTATAGTGTATTTAAAAAATAGGATCAGATTTAAAAAAAATAGGGTCAGAGTATATAAGCTATTTTGTAATGTGCTTTTTAAAAAACATAATTCCTATATGAACCAATTTAGAGCGGCTTCTTCTCATCTTTCTCTTACTAGAACCTCCACTGGCAGTGAAGCCTGGAGGCTGCAGCTCAAGGACACCCAAGGACTCAAAGCCTGCCTTTCTCAGGGAGGTTGGTGAGACCCTTAGGCTCCCAAAGGTTCAGCATTCTCATTGTAACTCATTATATAATTTTAAAAGATTGATCTCAATATAGAGATTTCTTCTAGAAATGCCTAGCATGAAGAGGGTTAGAAAAACCAGTGGAGTTTAATTAGAAAAAGTACATTTTTTTAATGAAATGGGGGGCAAGATCTCTCTGCAACTACATTTTACTCTTTGTGATATTATGTTGGGGTTGGAAAAAATCTACTTTCTTTTTTTATTTTTTCATAGAAATGTATTATTTCATTGTAATTTATGCATGCACATTGCAAAAGCCTCAGACAATACTGAAATCTATGGAGAAAAAGTAATCTTTTATCATTCAGCAGTAACAACCATTACTGTTTTGGTTTAACTTGCTTTAGGAGTTTTTAGTGGCTTTGTAAACATTTTGATACTATAGTGTATTTAAAAAATAGGATCAGATTTTAAAAAATAGGGTCAGAGTATATAAGCTATTTTGTAATGTGCTTTTTAAAAAACATAATTCCTATATGAACCAATTTACATTTTCATCATAAGAGTAATTGCCTTTCGCTATTCTATTGCGTAAGTGTGCCATTTGTGGTTACTTCCAGTTTTCATAAATAGAAAAGATATTCTTATTCATGTCTGTGTATATTTGTATAATTATTTCTTTGTTCTGAATATTTAAAATGGGCTATTTCAAAACAGAATGTATACTCTTACAAACTTTGATAACACCTGCAGCATTGCTCTTCAAAAACATAGTATCAATTTGCCTGCCCACCATTATTGTGGGGGAGTGCCCACAATGTCACACCCTTGGAAATCATATTACAAAAGAACTGGTGCTTAGAGATGTCCTTCAAGTCTCAACGCTGAGGGTCACTGAAAGCTTCCTGTGGATACTAAGGGTTGTGTGGCTGGTTTAAGAAGGTCATTGTCATTTAACTACTGCATTCATTTGTTCAACAGAGGGTAGGACTCATTTTTTTTTTCAGCCTAAGGCAGCATGTTAAACCCACCTCCTGTGTTCTTCTTCCTTAGATTGAGGAAGACACGTGGCAGAAATACTACTTGGAAGGAGTCTCAAATGAAATGTACACAGAATATCTCTCCAGTGCCTTCGTGGGTTTGTCCTTCCCTACTGTTTGTGAGTAAGTGACCCTTAATTAGATGCTCTTCCATTTTCAGGGAAATGTAATGGGCCCTTTATGAACAGCATCTATCCTGCCTTGAATTATGCTCTGCGATGTGGACACATTTATGAAGGGTAGGATGAACCCATGTCTCTCTAATTTTACTATGGCAAAAGCAATTATTTTTATTTTTTTAATTTATTATTATTATTATTATTGCCATAGGACACATGCACTCACCAGAGAGAAACAGTGAGAGGGAAAGTGAGATATCACCCACACACTCACTCCTTGGAGGAGATGGCTATGCTGCAAACCCTTCTCCTCCACTCTCCTCCTGGAATTTTGGGCATGTCCAGTGTGATTTTCAAGCCTCTGGGTCCAGGACTCAAACTGTGGTTTGCCATGCAGGAGGAGTCAGCACCTTAACTGCCACACCGCCTGCTGGATGGTAGAAACAAATTTTGTCAGTCCTTCAATGAAAAGAATTGAATCTGTCTTCCAATCAAGTTAGATCATGGAGACACTGGAGAAACTTCTGAAATGAAGCTATTTGCTGAGGAAATGCATAAGCAAATGTACAGAAGCTCCATGTGGACATCTACCACGTTATGATAATAGCAAGGCTTAGCTTCTCCGTATGCTGGTCCAACAGACTGGATCAGAGCAAGAAGCAGCCCCAGCCCACCGTGGCCCCTTCAGGAGAATAGGTTGTGGCCTATGGAAGGAAGGTGGCCTCAGAGCTTGATGAGATGTGACAGTTCCTTAGATGCCCCGCTTAGAACCCTAAATGTTCGGTTTAAGTCAAACGGGGGTTCTGTGCCCTGTGAAAACACAGACTCCCTGACAATGGTGAAATACTAAACCTGATTCATTGACAGGGTCTGAAGAACTCAATGTCATTGATAAAAACTGGGAAAAAACACAGGAGGATCTGGGAACCCCTGACTAGGCTGAGGAAGACAAGTCAATCCCTTGTGGTGCCTGACTGCTTACAAGCCCATCTTCCAGAAAGGGAGGTCTGAGGGTGCTGAAACAAAACTGTGTACCCTTTATAATAAAAGAGGAGAGAGTCCTGGGGACTCCTGGACGTATCTGACTTGCATGCTCTGTTCTGTATGCAGCAGAGAGTGGGATGGAGCACTTGGTAGCTTTGTGTTTACCTGGAGACTTGTCAGTGAGCCCAGCAGGTTCACTGTGGCAGTCCCTGGGCCCAGACCCTAAGCAATCCAAAATGGTTTGGCTGTTTACTGAAATTTCTCACTCTGTCTCTAAGCGAAAGTTTAAATGCTAAATGGACTGGAAAAGTGAATAGGTAATTGATTCGGAAGGAGTTATTTTCTGAAAATGGATGCCCTATTGTAACTCCCATGTGTTCCTTTCTTGGAGAGCAATTTCTCTTTCTGCCACAGAAAGAAGTTAACTATTCAGAGGCATTGGGTCCTGGAATGCCAAGGCTGTCTCGGGAGATTTTTCTCCTCCTCGGTGCTTGGCCTGCCTAGGAAAAAAAGCTCAGAAGAAGTCAGGCCTTGGAACAGAAGCTGATTCTATAAACAGGCAGTTGACACGTAGTGTGTCTATATGGGGTAGTCTGGAGCACACCTCACAGCTGCCAAAGCCTGGAGGGAGTTCTATGGAGTTGGGACTTTGGGGGAGGGGTTGAAGTGGGTCCTCCCCACATTGTCTGTTAAGTGTTTCTGGCCTGACTGGTGTTTATGTTTAACATGTGTGCTCCCTCAAAAGCCTCCTAGATCTTCCCTACTTTCTCGTCCTTCTCTCTTCTGTTTCTTGGAACTGTTAACCCGAAAGGTTAGAACTATTCCTCCAGAGGCTCTAACTGGGATTCTGAAAGGGTAGATTCACATAGTTACTTATACAGTGTTTAATTTCTTAGAAACTAGTTGCCTATACAGTCACACATTGTTTAATGGCAGGGATACATTCTGAGAAATGTGTGATCAGATGACTTCATTGTGTAAATATCGCATAGTGCACGTATGCAAACCTACGTAAGATAGCCTACTACACTCTGAGACTGTATGGTATAATCTATTATAATTTTATGGAACCACTATCCTATGCAAGTCTGTCATTGACCAAAATCTCAGCACACGACTGAATTTTACAGTAGTGGTATGTCACATAAAAACAAATTTTCTGGGCCAGTCATGGTGGCACAGGTGGGAGGACACTGTCATGAAGTGGCTGAAGCTACCTAAGAAGTCTGGGTCCAATTTCCAACCCGACTTAGAGAGGTTGGGAACTAGTATGATCCTAGCTAACTGGGAAGCCAGGGCAGGAGAGTTGTGACATATGAGGCCTTGTCAAAATACCTCTCTTCCTCTCATTAAAAAAACACACACACTAAAAAATATCAAAAAAAAAAAAAAAAAGAAAAGAAAAAGAGAAGAACAGAACAAAGAAAATACACATTTGTGGCTTTACTTGAGCTCTTATGTGCAATGCAGGACCTGCGCTTCTCCCAGCTCCGGTTTGTTGTAGCTAAGGGGTTGGTAGTCCCTTCCCTTCCAGATGGCTTAACCTAGGCCAGATTTGCATATATATCCCAGGCCTGAACCTGTAGGCATGTGAGTTTGCCAACCCTGAGCCTCTGGGTGGTGTGAAGCTTCATTGGCCTTCAGAGCCAGCTCCAGATCTGGGCACTAGTGGCTGCTGTGAATATTTACCTTGATTGATTTTCATATGTAGAACATGTCCCCAGGAAGAGAAAATCCTTCAGAGCTACCTCGTTGTCAGAGAATTTACTATTTGTTCAGTAAAGCTTCTGGAACACTCCCTCCAAAACAAAACAAACAAACAAAAAAAACTTTTGATGTGAGTGAGAATGTGTTCAATTTAGTGCTATTATTCGTTTAATACAATGATACAGCAGAGGTAGAAATAATCAATAAAGAAAGGACATTTAATGAGATTTAGGAACATCCCAAAACATTGAAGCTCTCCTCAAGCATTTGATTATCTGGAGGCTTAATTATCTGTGTTTTCTACTTTAAATTAAAGAAAAGCCATAACTCAAAGTTACCAGCAGTTTAATGATAACACTCTTCAATTCAGGTTAATTAAAGCACAGCCGTAATTAGAGTGTAGTGCTGTATATCACCGGGCTTGCGCCTAAGTATTTTCATTACAGTAAGAATTGGCTATTCAATTTCAAGATGACATAAAGGACGCCAAAATATATTTTAAGCTGGTTCATGGAGAAGAAGAAAAAGAATTGGGGACTATTCTGGGTATAATAAAGCACAGATAAAATATACAGATTTTCAGAGCAGTTTCTGTAATTATGCACTGCACTAAAACAATATGCAGCCAATAACATCTTACAACATGACAAGAAATAAATTTGCTCTTCTTCTGGGCGGGCAGGATGTCCCCTTGCAGGATGGGATCACTGCATGAGAGAGCATGGAGTTTTTTCAGAAGCTGGAAAAGTCTTTCTATGACAAGATGTGGGGGTAGGATACATGAGTGAAATTCGAGGTCAACTCTCAAAAGAACAGGAAGAGGGTGGAGGAAAGGCAGGAGGGGTAGAAAGACCCAAACAATGCAATTTTTTAAACGTCAAGCTGCAAGATGTTCACTCATCCAGGTTGAGACTCAATAGGCCCTGAATACTTGGGCTTCTCTGCACCAGGCTTTCGGCTGCACCGTGTGTGACCAGAAGATGTAGCTTTGTTCCTGGCCAGAGATAACACACAAAGTCCGATCTAACCTTGCAACTGCATTTTCTCGTTTATCATCACAACAATCGCGCGAGATCTATATTAATATCTCTATCTCTGTTCATAAATGAGCACTCTGAGACAGAGAACATAGGTACCCCTTCCAAAGCCAAAGCAGATGTGTGTCAGGGACAGGGTGAATCTGTACTCTGCCAGCCATACAGTCCACTGACTGTGCTCCCTGTGGCTCCTCCGGATCACCAAGGAAGGAGATGTGGGAGTACTGAGCCTTTCAGTGTTCTCACTTAGGTTTCCTCGGGGCTTAGAAAAGCTATTTTGGATTGGGGAGAACAGACAAGCACTAAAGGCAGAGACATACAGAGGAAGCAAGAGAAGTTCAGGGTGCAACCCTCAGAGACACCTCTTAACCTTGTTGGAGGTCATAGTAGGTATGCTCAGTACCTTCCTCAGGGCGGCCATAGTGTTTTCCTTTAGAGTTACTGAGTACCTCTTCTTGATTTTTCCTAGTCGGCATGTCTCTGGGTCTGTGGCAGTAATACCAAGCTCTGGAGCAGAAGGAGAGAGTGCCACCTATTGTTATCTAAACATGAGCAAACCTTCTTCTCCCTTTTCTCTTCTGTTCCCCACTTTCCTCAGCGAGCAACCATGGAGGATGCAGGTGGTGAGCTCCAAGCCTACAGGAAGCTAGGGCAGGGCTGTGAGGCCAGGTTTGCCCCCGAAGGACCCTATTTCTCAGTGGTTCCCACAGTAGGACATGTGTGATGCCGGAGTATGAGCTGCGTGGTCACAGGACCTAGGGCTAAACCCACAAACTGGCCCCTCACTGCATATGTGTTTTGGGGCAAGGTATTTGGTTTCTGTGTATCTTCTTCAGCCACCAGTTGCCTGACGTTGGATTGGTGCTTCCCCCAAGTCCTTATCATTGAAACAGGAATAATATTCTTTATCTCTGGTAACTACTTAATGTTCTTTTCTTTTCTCCCACCTCTTTTTTTTTTTTTCCTCCACTTCTTTGTCCTCCTCATCAACTATAATACAAGTACCGAGAAAGAAAGAAAAACCACTGTGCATTTCCAGGGTATATTTACTCCGAGTCTTTAGTAAATCCTCCCATTGGTCAGTCACCAATCAACTGACCAGATACTTAATGAACTTGGGATATTTGCCTCATCAAGCCAATCTTTCTGTTGTCTCTAGAGGAAACTGAAATTACAGTAATCAAGCATACACACATGAAAAGATTAACAACAAAACTTATTCATGGCAAGTATACGGATTCATTTTTGTTTTTATTTATTTATTTTTAAAGAGCTT